GTTTGGTTGGCAGAGCACGGTGGTGGCTCTCTCTCTGCAAAGGCCTGATGACAACCTCTACTCCATAGGTGTGTGGGAGCCTGGGGTTCTCTGGGAGGCAACAAGGTAACCCAGAGTGACCCTGAGGCACAGGGTCAGGGTGGTCTGTAGGGAAGAGACCTCATGTGCAGTACAGGCCAGCCTCTGCTGCCACACCTCCTTCCTCAAGCCAAACCAACAGCCTTTGCATGTGAAACACCTTCCTGGTGTCCCTTCTAGCTTTGCAAGCAATAACCGAGCTGCAGGGCACTCTCCTGAAGGAGCCAGAGTTCACTTTAGATGGGGCTGCAGGAGCGCCCCTCCTCTATGTGAAAGAAAAAGGTTTCTTTCCTCACTCTGACTTCTCAGGCTCACCTCCTGTTAGTTTGAAAGAGAGTCAGGATTGTCCTGATGGAGTTGAAGAGGGTAGGAGCTTTTGTGCTCATCATAGTGATGGGCTGCGTGCCTGTCCCACACCCCTCCACCCCTGACATCATGGCCCTGAAGTCCCCTCTGGGCTTCATGGAAGTGCTCTTGTTGGGTTGTAGTGACACTAGACTTCAAGGGCTAAGGCAACGGTGAAGCTGTCAACCCAGAGTTGTGGTGATACCCATTTAAATTTTTCTTTGTATTTTTATTTTTAAAGACAACTTATGTGATGAGTTATAAAAGTTTGCAATTACTTCATCCTAAATTAAATTGGGAAAAAATGGGTTTCGTTTCTACTAATGAGAAACTGCAGATTAGGAAAAGACTGATGTGGGAAAAGAAATTCCTTTCCTCGGTGTCTATAGTTCCGCTCTTTCTTTGTTACATTTAAACTGTATCCATGGACATCAGTCTGTTTTGGACTCCTCTGTTAGTGTTAAAGATGTAAATAAGGGCTGGGGATGTGGCTCAAGCGGTAGTGCACTCGCCTGGCATGCGTGTGGCCGGGGTTCAATTCCTCAGCACCACATACAAACAAAGATGTTGTGTCCACTGAAAACTAAAAAATAAATATTAAAATTCTCGGGAAAGGGAAAAAAATAATACAAGGGGGAGGAATGAATTACAGTAGAGGGGGTAGAGAGAGAAGAGGGGAGGGGAGGGGAGGGGAGGGGGGATAGTAGAGGATAGGAAAGGCAGCAGAATACAACAGACATGAGTATGTCAATATGTAAATCAATGGAAGTGTAACTGATGTGATTCTGCAAGCTGTATACGGGGTAAAAATGGGAGTTCATAACCCACTTGAATCAAAATGTGAAATATGATATATCAAGAACTATGTAATGTTTTGAACAACCAACAATAAAAAAAATAAAAAATAAATAAATAAAATTCTCTCTCTCTCTCTCTTAAAAAAAAAGATGTAAATAAAACTATTAATTTGGAGGCTGGGATTGTGGCTTAGTTGTACAGTGCTCGCCTAGCACGTGTGAGGCACTGGGATTGATCTTCAGCACCATAAAAAATAAATAAATAAATAAAATAAAGGCATTGTGTCCATCTACAACTAAAAATAAATTTTTTTAAAAAACCCATTAATTTGGACCGAAAAAAAAAAAATACAAGTGACAATAAATATGGGGGGAAAGGTTCACTCACACATTGCTGGTGGGACTGCAAAATGGTGCAACCACTCTGGAAAGCAGTATGGAGAAAAAAACTTGGAATGGAACCACCATTTGACCCAGTTATCCCTCTCTTCAGTCTATACCCAAAGGACTTAATATCAGCATACTGCAGTGACTTGGCCACATCAATGTTTATAGCAGCTCAATTTACAATAGCTAAGCTATGGAACCAACCTAGGTGCCCTTCAACCTAGGTGAATGGATAAGTAAAATGTGGTATATACACAATGGAATATTACTTAGCCATAAAGCAAAATGAAATTATGGCATTTGCTGGGAAAGGGATGGAACTGGAGACTATCATGCTAAGTGAAATAAACCAATCCCCCCAAATCCAAACACTGAATGTTCTCTCTAATATGTGGATGCTAACACGCAATAAGTGGGTGGGGAGAATAAAAGTTCATTGGATTAGACAAAGGGGAATGAAGGGAAGGAAGGAGGGATGGGAACAGGAGAAACAGTAGAATGAATTGGACATAACTTTCCTATGTTCATATGTGAATACATGAACAGCGAAACCCCACATCATGTACAACCACAAGAATGGGATCCTAAGTTATACCCCATGTATGTATAATATGTCAAAATACACTGCACTGTCATGTATATCTGAACAGAAAGATCCCAGGCAACTCTGCTCACCAGGGGTCAACCCTTGAGAACCATTAAAACAAAGCAAAGAGATAACAATTTGTATAATTCTTTGTGTTTCCTATTGCGTTGACTAACAGGTTAAGGAAAGGGACATATGCATGTATAATATGTCAGAATACATTCTACTGTCATGTATATCTAAAAAGAACAAAAATTTTTAAAAAGGGAAATAGCATTTGCCTTTCTACAATTATGCAAGGTAGTCTTACTTAATACTTACTGTACCCTTAATGTTACCTCATTTTATGGATGAGAAAACTGAAGTTAACGCTGGATGAAATGCTCAGAGTTTTACAATGAGGTGAATCTGGGACTCAAATGCAAGTTTGTCCAACTCCAAAATGTAGATTCCATTTGTTACACTTTGCTTCCTACTAACAGTGTTTGGCCATAATAATTTAATGTATTTTTTCCAGAAATTCAGTTATACAGAGTTCAGTCCACTGGTCTAGACCAAGATTTTGTGGTTTTTTGAGCCTCGTTTTCCTCCTATTACCCACCTTGAAGTCTCACGGTGAGAAATTCAGACAACACACTTAATCCACTTGGCAATGGCAAAGGTTAGGCACACAACACTTGACGGCAGTGTCACCATCCAATAGCTGTTTGCTCCTCTTCCTTCATGCCATCACTAATTTTAAGTGACTCAGAAAATATGTTCCTCTCCTTCTCTGTGTCAGCCACATTAACCAGAACTTATTCTGAACATGTGTTTGAGCTGTCTGTACATCTCCTATTGGCGCCTATTCTATTGAAGAGTACTGTGAATAGCAAATAACATGTAAGATGCACAGAATCAGTTAGCTAGGAAGTAAATATTTATTGAGCATCTACAATGTGCTAAGCCTGGGGATAGAGTCATGAGGCAGAGTCCTTCCTGAAAGGATCTTACACAATAGTTCTTAACATCCAGGGCCTCAAGCGAGCTAGGCAAGCACTCTACCATAGGAGCTGCATCCCCAGCCCTGCACAATCATTCTTACTGCTTTTTTTTTTTGAGGTGGCAGGGATTACACCCCCACCATCACCCCCTGCCCACTGCTTTCATAAAACCCCTAGCACTGCCTTTCCAATACTGCTCTGCTTTACTGTTTTGGATTCTGTTTTCATTATGTCGTCTGGGAGTCAGTGAATTGGCCGGGAACTTGAAATCCCGTGTTTGGACTCCCAACAGCTCAGTTTCCACCCAAATAGACTTGCAAATGTGCTTCTAGCAAAGTGCTTCTGGCTGGCCTTATCACCCAAGATGCTGCAGTTCTGCATGTGGCTGGCTGCCACTCACTCCCAAGGCAGCAGAAGCTGGATTATTGTAGCAACTTCCTAAATGGTCTCCCCACTTATCCTTGTACCCCCTGATAGTTTATTTTTAACCCTGGCTGTCAGAGGGACTTTCAGGAATTGGGAATTGAACCCACAGGATGATTCTTTTAGTATGAATGAGTCAGATCACGCCACTCCCTTGTTCATAGCCCCCTCTTGGTTCCTTATCTCGAGATCTGACAAAATTCAACACTCTTAGAGTGGTCTACAAGCTGCACGTGAGTCCCTGTGACCTCGCATATCGTTTGAAGAGTACTCTGGTTACCGCTGTTTACTGTGAAGTCCTTGCTTCCCGGAAAGCTGAAGTATAACACAAGAGAAGCATGCCCGGGCGAGCGTAGAGTGGACAGTGGAAGGCTTTATTAAAGGAAAGCAGAAAAGACACCCCCCACCTCAGGAAGAAGGGAACCCAAAAGGCAAAATCCGTGGAAAGGGGAGGTCTTCTTCCTTTTATATCTAAGTTCTTCTTTTCTCCTCCCACATTCCTGTTCTGCATTCCCCTCTATTCTGATGTGATGGGGGATGCAGGTGGGAAGGCCAAAAGGTGGGAAACAGGTGGGCCAGTAGGGCAAGGCTGAGTGATCTGGGCAGGAAGGCCTAGGATGATGGTTTGATGAACCTCTCCCTGTTCTGCTGGGAGCTGCTTCATTAACAGGGGTCCGGGGCCTTGGGGACATTAACATTTTGGTAGTTCTGATGAAGTTCTGGTTTGCCAGGCTTAGATCGGACTCCATTTTCTTTACTAGACTCTAGATTAGACCCGATTTACCTAACTACACTAACTACCTATCTTTAAATCTGGCTTCATCCCGCCCCCCCTAATCTGAGGAACTCCTTACTGCTGTAAGGAAATGGGACGATGATGATCGTCTGGCTTCTTCAAGCTGGAAGGGGGCGGCGTGCAGCAAGCAGATTGGAGTTCCCCCTTTAAAAATCGGGTCTATCGAGTGGTCCAGTAGAGAAGTCCGATTGAGAAGCAACAGGCTAGAGGGCCATTTGAGTGATGGGTGGTCTATAAGAGAAACGAGAGTTATTAGTCCTGGAATAAGGTTAATGCAACAGTAAATGCCACAGCATAGGAATATGCCAACGAGTGTGATGACGGCGACAGAGACTAACAATGTTTCCCACCAGGAGGTACCAGAGAACCAGGAGCTAAGAATTGTTCCTGGTGATAAGGTTGGCAAGGACATGGCTTCTACCTGAGCATGTAAATCTTTAAGGGTATTAGTCAACGTTGCCAGAATTGTCATGAGATGTAAACACAACATTCAGTTTTAAGAATGGCACAAGGTCTGCCTTGGGCTGCAGTGGGGACATCTAAGGCTATCCGGTTTGGAAGATGGCCTTCCTCATAAGCGTTACTTCAGTGATAGGGAGAGAGAAGCTTGCCTCCACCTCTCGGAGGGCAGTGTGGTATAATTGTTTAAGGTTTCCATGTGCCACATAATAAACAGTGAAGCTAGATGATCATACCCACCAACACAGACTGTCCCCATCTATGTTTGAGACTGGGGAGGTTTGCTGGCTGTTCTACATTTGGAGTCCATCTCCCTTGCATCCCGGGATACCCAACAATAATACATCTCCCTATGCAGCCTGGGGAAAAGCCAGGGCCATAGGTTACTTTCATATACCCATTGAGTTCCATTGGGTGCTGGCCAAATAATTCTAGGTCTAGAGAGCCAGACTGTTCCAAACTAGTCATTGGCTTGTAAAAAAACACAATTTGTTGGAGTATAGGAGTATCCTTCCTCGGTTCCTTGGGAAGGAGAATTAGTTTTCTCTACCCTTCCTGAGGATTGAGATCTCCAAAGCTGCTCCATTGTCACTCTGTAGGCTTCGAGGCAACCCAAATTGTGGGATTATTTCTTGTAATCCTTAGCTAGGGTTTGGCCAAACAGGTGAGGGCTATCTCTAAATCCCTGGGGTAATACTGTCCAGGTTAATTGAGATCCACTATCTGGTTCCTCAAAGGCAAATAGATATTGCAATTAGGAGTCTAAAGGTATACAGAAAAAGGCATCTTTGAAATCCAACATAGTAAACCAAGCAGTGGCTGCTGGAATCTCGGATAACCGAGTATACGGATTAGGAACCACAGGGAGGATTAGGAACCACAGGGCGGAGAGGAACAATTGCTTTGGTTAATTATTCTGAGGTCCTGGACTAGGCACCATTCCCCATTGGGTTTTTGAATTCCTAAAATGGGTGTGTTACACGGGCTGTTGCAGGGCGCTAAAAGTTTCTGTCCTTTGAAGTTCTAAAGGATCTTTAATAAGCCTCCCCCCTTTTTTTTGCCTCTGGGTGTAGGGGACATTATCTCTGATGTGGAAAAACAGAGGGATCTTTTAAGACTATTTTGATTGGGACTGCACTTTTTGTCTGATTTTGTCCTCCGTGGCCCTCACTTCAGGGTTCAGATTACATTCTAATAAAAGCAAACATCATGGTCCTTGTTGCCCCAAATTCCTTGTAATGGACGTCTGAAGTTTTGAAAGTAAGTCTCTTCTCAATAAAGGACATTCTGGGACAATCAGAAATGCATGCGAAAACATCATCCTGTCCACTTACAACTCAGTGGGGGTGTAAACTTCCTGGTAATAGGCCATCCAGACGCTCCTTGACTGGTACAATATTAGGGGAAAGAGGTCCGGGTAAGAAGTGAGTACAGAAGAAGTGGTGCCAGTATCAAAGAGGAAGTCAACCTCTTGGCTCCTTAGGGAGATGCATGCCCGGGGCTCACAGAATTGACCCTGGGCCCATCAGGCCTGTGTGGAGGAGTCAGGCTTCGAGGACCTACGTCCCTGGGGACAGTCACTCCTCCAGTGATTGCCTTGACACTTAGGGCAGGGCTTTGGGGGTGGTCGTTTTGCCCGTGGGCAATCCCGTTTGAAATGTCCTCCCTCTCCACAATGGAAACAAGTCCCTTTTGTGGACTGAGGAGCATTTCGTCTGCCTCCCTTTTCACCCTGGGAGCTGACTCCTCTAAGAGAGGATACCAGGGTTTCGGTCCTTTTTCTGTCTCTGTGCTCTTTCTCCTTCTTTTCCTCTAGGTCTCTATTATAAAAAATGGAAGTAGCAAGTCGGAGGATGTCATCTAAAGATTGATCAAGGCCATATGCCCATTTTTGTAACTTCCTCCGAATGTCTGGGGCTGACTGAGTGATAAATTTGTCCTTTAAAAGTAGTTGGCCCTCTATGGATTCAGGATCCACGGTGGTGTGTTTTCTCATTGCCTCCCTGAGTTTCTCCATGAAAATAGCAGGGCTTTCCTGGGGGCCCTGAATGATTTCCGAAACCTTCGAATAGTTAACGGGCTTTTGCTTGATTCTCCTGAGGGCCTCAAGGACCAACATTTGGAAATGTCTAATTTTCCAAGCATCCTGTTTATCATTGGGGTCCCAGTCAGGATCATTTCTGGGAACTGCCTGTGCTCCGGATGGATAATTGGGTTTGCTCCTGGTCTGTGCCGCTGGGGCATGAGCAAGGTACAGGTCATCTCCAAACTGTTCAGCTGCTCTTAGGGCGGCTTCCTTCTCATTGGAAGTTAAAGTCTGGTTGAGTAATAGCATAATATCTTTCCAGGTGAAGTCAAACACCTGGCATAGATTTTGAAATACCTCAATATATTTATCTGGATCCTCTGAAAATCTCCCTAAGTCTGTTTTTATCTGTCTTAGGTATTGAAGGGAGAAGGGGGTACGTGCTTTGATGGGTCCAAATTCTCCTCCTGGCATCTCTGGGAAGAGTAATACATTTGATCTGACTATTATGTCAAATAGAGAGAGGCCAGGGTATGGGAGACAGGAGGGCCACTGCTGGACACCAGCAGGGGATGGAGATTTCATGGGTCCTCCCAATTCTTTCTCCTCAGTAGGTGACTCCTTAAGATTTTCTCTCTTCATGGCAGAGGTCACAGCCAAGTCTACTTTACATTGTTGGCATAATTTGGGGTTTTCCCTTAGGGCAAAGAAAGCCTGCACATATGGCACCTCACACCATTTCCCTTCCCTTTTGCAAAATTTATCCAGCTGTAAAATTGTATTAAAATTGATACTTCCCTCTGGTGGCCAGGATTCTCCATCAGGGAGTTTGTATTGAGGCCAGGCCTGGCGGCAGAAGAAAATGAGGCGCTTTTTCTTGAGCGTCTGTGGGTCAAACTGATCCCAGTTTTTCAATATGCAGGTGAGTGGTGCACCTGGCCCACTGGAGAGAGAAGCTCCCATCTGAGTGAGAAGAGAAAAAAAAAAAAAAACAACAACAGGATTCAGGCACTCCTGTGGGAGAAAACTGTTCCTATTAGGGACATCTCCCAAAGCTTTGGTCCAGAAAACCCATCTCTCTCTCTCATCGAGCTTTGCCAAGGTTGTTTCTGGCCTCCTTTTGAGAAAGTGCTAGGGTCCCAGTTTGCCCTGTGCCAGAGACCCTGGGAGGATCCAGACTTAAATGCCTCCCTCTGGCAGCTTAAAGAGAACACAGCATATTTTAAGCATCGGAATGGTAATGGGGAAATTTTAAACAGACTAGTGAAACTTACCTATGCAAACGATTCTGGTCCCAGTGGGGGATCCAGGGGTCCTGAAGGAGGAGTGGCGTCAGAGAGACTGGAAGACAGGTTGCAAGTTACGAACAGCCTCCAGAAAAAATCTGCTGCCCCTAGAGGGGCCTTTATTTTTATACCTTTTTTACAGGTATTTTTTCAGGAAGTTAATGGATAGCCTCAAAGCCCCAAACTTCTTTGATTTACATGATTTTCAAGAGTTACAATCTTTTCTGACATATATATTGATTACCTAAGATATGGAGTACATTGTTTAAAATATTTTCCAGTAACCTTAGCCAATCATGATTAAGCTTTTACATTTTTACCTCAATCACTAGGTGCTAGACTATGCAACTAGACTACATGTCTCCTGACCTATTATTCACTTTTAACTTTAGCATACCTATAATTATTTCATTAACCTTTAACCTTAAAGCACATCTCTGATTATTGGAAAGCTTTCTTACTTCTAAACTAAAATCCCAATAAACACACTTAAAATAGTGAAAGTCCATTACTTAAAAAGCCTACTACTCTGAAGTGCCTCTAAAATATATCTATGTTAATCTTACATTATTTTATTTTTAGTTTCCAAGGTAATTTTCCTTTTTCATATGACCTATTTAACTGCTTTCTTAAAGAGTTTCCTTGATCCTTGGTCAAAGCACACCAATTCTTTTGTCTTTGTAATCTTTAGCTAAAGGACAGGCTTTGCACCTCAACCCATTTGTCATTTATATTAACTGTGTTTTCCATTCTCATCATGAATTCCTGTGTGAGGCAAAGGAGGGGCGGTTGGTGGGGGGAATGTATGTTGCACAGATTGAGGCTTTAGAATGGGGGGGATGGTGGGGGGGCTTAATGTAAATTGTTATGCTTTTCACAATCTTTTCCCCATGAATTTCTTGAGGAATAACACTATTGTTTGTATTCCGGGAGACACTGAAACACACCTTGTGGCATGTCTTAATCATATCCTTAGTCTCCTCATTCTGGGAAATTTCCTGCAATCTCAGGCAACACGTACTTTTATGATTGACTGACATATGCCCTATTGTCCATATCATGAGTATTATAAACAAAACACTTAACATTCCCTGCGAACCAGATGGTGCGGCCCTGCCACAGCATCCCCCCTGCTGTGACCCTGTCAGACAGGGGGTGCAGGAATGCCTTCATTAGCCTGAGGGGAACCTGGGCACCTTCTTACTAATCATCCCATGTCTCTCTTAGTCCTACCATCTTAATTGCTAGTGTTTCTGACCGGCAAAGGAAGGGGAGCATCCAGGAGAGAATGGATGCGGGGTTGAGAGTGGCCTACATGGAGGCAAAGTAATTGGCCTCAGTGCCATTCATCTACCAATCACCCTAGATACCCCTTAGGGCTGTCGGGAGGGGGTTCAAGAGAAAGGAACCAAACTCCTTCCTCTACCTCCACGCCTCCAAGGCAGATGGGGACTATGGACACTATGTACTCAATGCCAATTGCTCTCCTCCTCAGCTTTGGCAGAATCCAACATGTCTGCTCCGTATCAAACAGGTGATTGAGAGCTGCTGACAGACCCAGCCTGTCAAAATTGGGAGCCATCTCGCCACAAAGACATGAAAAGCTAATTTCGGCTTTACTATAAATTACTGCAAATTCTGAACTAGCTTGGAATGCCTGCCTGTGCCTTGGAACTCACCCATGCCTGGCTTTCCCTGACCAGATAGCAACCCTCTCTGAAACTTTGGTGATGCCTCACAAATCTTGGCCTTCCCTAGCCAGATAACGAATCTCTCTGAGGCTTTAATGACCTTCATAAATTCTGATGTTGGGCCAGCAAAAATATAAACTAGCATTTGTGTTATGCTCGTCAGAATCTGTAAACCCTGAAAAACCAGCCTCTACCTTAGAGCAAAGCCTGTCCAAGGAAGGGGGTTGACCCTTCTCCTTTGAATGACCCACAGAGCACTCCTAGGCACATACCCACCCTGCTGAGTTGTTTATCTACATTAACAGGAGAGATCTGAGGTGCCAGGTGTCCCTGACTCAGTCAGGCTAGGTGAGGACCCATAACAACCCCCTAGCAACCACCAATCAGCATGAGACAGGGAAAATACCTGGGATGCCAGATGACCCTCCCAGTAGTTTATGGTGGTTGATAACCTGTTGGGAAACCATGTAGTTCAGCACTACTCCCCTCGTGGCTTAAACCAATCAGTTCAAACGAATTCCCCTCTGGTACTAATCAATCACCCTTACCCAACTTGTTCCCGCCAGTGAATGTGCTAATCATGTTTTAGAGTTGTTTTATGATTTTCC